AATGAATGGATATTGGATAACATTAAAGAATTATTGTTCATTTTATTGATGTGATAAAGGTATTATCTATGTATTTATTTATTTAGAGACAAAGTCTCACTTTGCAGCCCTTGGTAGAGTACTATGGCGTCACAGCTCATAGCAACCTCCAACTCCTAGGATCAAGCGATTCTCTTGCCTCAGCCTCCTGAGTAGCTGGGACTACAGGCACCCACCACAACCCCCAGCTATTTTTACAGACAGGGATCTCACTTTTGCTCAGGCTGGTCTCAAACTCCTGAGCTCAGGCAATCTACCCGCCTCCACCTCCCAGAGTGCTGGGATTACAGGCATGAACCACTGCACCTGGCTATCTATGTTTTTTTTTTTTTTTAAATTCTTAACATTTAGAGATACACATAAATATTTACTGATGAAATAATATGATTTCTAGATTTTGATTCAAAACAGTCTGGGGCCTAGCATTCTGGGAGGCTGAGGCGGGTGGACTGCCTGAGCTTAAGAGTTTGAGACCCCATCTCTAAAAAAAAAAAAAAAAAAAATAGCCAGGCGTTGTGGTGGGCACTTGTAGTCCCAGCTATTCCGAGGCTGAGACCAAAGGATCTCCTGAGCCCAGTTGTTTGAGGTTGCTATGAGCTATGATGCCGTAGCACTCTAACAAGAGCATCAGAGTGAGACTCTGTCCCAAAAAACAACAACAATAAAAACAACAATCTGGGGAGAGGAGTAGATTAAACAAGTGGCTACTAAACTCGAAGGAGGTCCCAATAGCCCAGTATGGGAAAATTTAAGTAACAAAACAGCAATGGATCACAATTCATGGAATAAATATCCTTGAGTCCATGTTGGTATAAATAAATAAATAAAATGGGAAAAAGGAGAAGGCTCTTCTTTACAGCTAAATTCCAATTAATAAATATACAAAGAATAGTGGAAATAGAAAATTGCCACTTGGCAAATAACAGAGTAATAACTGTTTCAGGTCATAATTATCAATACATAAATTGGACAAAGAGGATCACATCAAGCTAAAAAGTTTCTGCACAGCAAAGGAAACAATTAGCAACGTGAAGAGACAAGCCACAGAATGAGAGAAAATATTTGGAAACTACCCCTATGACAAGGGATTAATAACTAGAATCGATAAGGAGCTCCAACAACTCAATAGAAAAAAAATCAAATGATTTGATTAAAAATGGAAAAGGATCTGAATAGTTTTCAAAAGAAAACATATAAATGGCCAACAGATATATTTAAAAAGTTCAACATGATTAGTCATCAGAGAAATGCAAATCAAAACTATAAGGAGGTATCAGCTCATCCCAGTTAAAATGGCATTTACTTAAAAAAAACAAAGCAGGCAGTAATGAATGCTGGTAAGGCTGAAAGAGGAACCCACGAATGCTGGGTGGGAATGTAAATCCATGCAACTGCTACGGAGAACAGGATGGTGGTTCCTCAAAACTAAAAATAGAGGTACCACACGACCCAGCAACATTACTGCAGCACTATTCACAACAGCCAAGATTTGGACCAACCTAACCTATGAGTGGACAAGGAAACATAGTACATGCACACACACACACACACACACACACACACACACACACTCACTGTCAGGAATGTTACAGAACCCCAGCAAAGAATGAAATCTGGCTGGTAACAACAAACAACATGGACGGACGTCATTAGGGTTAGTGAAATAAGCCAAGCAAAGACAGACAAACCTCTCACGTTCCTCCTAATGTGTAAGAGTTAAAATACAGGATTATTATCAGAACAACTGATCACTGGAAACAGAGATGGTTACCAGAGGCTGGGAAGAACAGTGGGCAGCAGGGACAAAGTGGGGATGGTTAAAGGGCCCAGACATATAGTTAGACAAGTGAACAATATTTGCTAGCACAACAAAATGGCCATAATCAACTAAAGTTAGGGTGTACTTGAAAAGAACTAAAAGAGTAGAATTGGAATGTTCTAACACAAAGAAAGATAAGTGCCTGAGGTGACGGGTAGCCCAATTACCCCAGTCTGATTAATTCATCATATGTACCCTATAAAGATACATAACTATTGAGTACCCATAATAATTAAAAATTTTAAAAAACTTACCAATGCATGCTAAAATAGGAGTAATGATCAGAAAGAGGTGATTGATGCAATATCAGAGTACTTTCCCCCAAGATACTGATCAAAAGGGACAAAGACTAACTCTACAGTGGAGAACCCTGGCAGACACCTCCTCAGCTGGTGACCAGAGTTAACATCACCAGGGATGGGACAAAATATACCATGTGCTTCCCAACAGGGTACGTCATGGACCAGGGGGACACACAACATCGTTTCTGTGACTTTCCGACCAAAAATGCATAACTTAAACTAAAGCATGAGTGAGTACTGTTCAAAAATGCCACAGTCATGGAAGACAAAGACAGACCGAGGAAGTATCCCAGAGTAAAGAAGACAGGGGACATGGCTGCTAAATGCAATGTGTCCCCAAAAAGCCATTAGTGGGATGACTGACGTTGTCTGAATAAGGCGTCTGGCTTAGCTAACAGCCTGGTTCCACTGTGGACCTCCTGATTTTATGGTTACGATGTGAGTGCCAGCATCTCAGAAGCTGGGTCAAGGGCACAGAGGAAAGAGAATTCTTTGAACTACTTTTGCTACATTTTTTAGGGGGGAATTATTAAATTTTTTTTAGAGACAGGGTCTTGCTCTATTGCCCAGGTTGCTCCTGACCTCAAGCCCTCCTGCTTCAGCCTCACAAAAGCTACAAACAATTTTTAAAGCAGTTACGGGTTAAGCACTGAAGCTGAGTGCTGGGTGCCCTGGGGCTCCATGTGCTGCCTTCTCTGCTAGCACAGATACTTCAAATGCTCCATGACGGACGGTTACAAAGAGAGGGGTAGGATACCACCATATGCAAAACACAGACCCTGTCTGAATTAGATTCCAACAAATCAACTGTAAAAGAACATTTCTGAAATAGCCAGGAAGATTTAAATACGAGTTGGTATTAATAATACTAAAAAATTGGCTCGGCACCTGTGGCTCAAGTGGCTAAGGCGCCAGCCACATACACCTGAGCTGGCGGGTTCGAATCCAGCCCGGGCCTGCCAAACAACAATGACTACTACAACCAAAACATAGCCGGGCGTTGTGGCGGATGCCAGTAGTCCCAGCTACTTCGGAGGCTGAGGCAAGAGAATCGCTTAAGCCCAGGAGTTGGAGGTTGCTATGAGCTATGATGCCACAGTACTCTACCCAGGGTGACAGCTTGAGGCTCTGTCTCAAAAAAAAAAAAAAAAAAAAAAAAATTACTGTTGGCTTGGCGCCTATAGCTCACCTGGGCTGGCGAGTTCAGGTCCAGGCCTGCCAAAACGACAGTGACAACTACAACAAAAAATAGCCAGTGTTGTGGCAGGTACCTGTAGTCCTAGCTACTTGGGAGGCTAAGGCTTAAGCCCAAGAATTTGAAGTTACTGTGAACTGTGATGAGGGTGACACAGTGAGACTCCTGTCTCAAAAAAAAAAAAAATTACTGTTGATTTTTTAACATATTTTTTTTCTTTTTTATTGAATGGTAACTATGTACATTAATGCACTTCTGGGGTACAGTGTGGTGTTTTCACACACAATCTGAAACACTTCCATCAAACTAGTTAACACAGCCTTCATGTCATTTTCTCAGTTATTGTGTTAAAATGTTCATATTCTACTCTTAGAAAGATTCACTTGTACCCTTGTAAGATAAACCTCAGAAGTGATCCCTCCAATCCTCCTCCCTCTACCCATTCTCCCTCTCCCTCCCCCCTCCCTGTATTCTTAAGCTGTTATTAGGTTATAGCTTTCATATAAAAGATATAAATTAATTTCATAATAGGGTGTGTACATTGGATACTTTTTCTTCCATTCTTGTGATACTTTGCTAAGAAGAACATTTTCCAGCTCCATCCATGTGAACATTTTAACGTATTTTTTAAAAGGTATTAAAAAACATTATATAAAATTTATCACTGGAACCATTTTAATGTGTTAAATTCTCTGGTGTTAAGTATATTCACAATGTTGTACAACCATCACCACTATCTAGTTCCAGAATGTTTTTATCACCCCAAATGAGACATCATACTTATGAAGCAAAATGTCACTTAGAAAAAGCCACAGGCATTTGTTTCTCACTCTTACACTGAAACCAGTTTAACAGGCTGAGAGCACTCAGTGGACCGCTCTGCTCCCATGGGGGTCCATGCTCGGCTGCCTGAGCCCTGGAACCCCCTACTCTGCCCCCATGCGCACAAGCACCTCGCAAGGTGCTGACCTACCTGGTGGGCTTCCACCCCGATGGCTCGCAGGGCAGCACTGAAGAACTCCGGAGAAGGTTTCCCCACCACTTCGGCTTCCACACCACAGGCATACTGGGAACAGAGAGAAGGACACGGTGCGGGTCTGGGATCCAGGAGCAGGTGTGCCCAACTGAGGGAAGACTTTCCCAAATGTGACCCAAGGGCAGGGCCTTGGAGAGGCTGGGTGCTATGGCCTAAGAAACACATCTCTTAGGCAAAGACCTTAAGACTCCACAACAGGCTGCCCGGGATGCTTGGGGCACCCACTCTCGGGCCCCCTGCCATTCATAAGGTCAAGAGTTGGCAGAGCCACAAGGCCTCCCGAGGACCAGACCAGTGCTCCTCGTCCATCCACTCAGCTGCATTTCTTTTTTTTTTTT